GGTTGGAGCCCACGCTCTTTTGATTAAAAGAACTGCATTAAATTCCTTTTTAATGCGGCTCCAATGGCATCTCATTCCCTGGGATCAGAGCTAGGTTTAGTGGAACGTTTAGGGACCGCTCTGGCCACTCCATCCACTAGGGCTCTACCTCGTCTCCGGTCTGCTTAACTTGGTCATGACACCTGACCTTGGTTGAGGAGGATTTATCGCAGTCGGCTAACTTAATAGGAAGAACCCTTGCCCGTCTCTTGTGGGAAGAGAGGAAGTGAAATACCAGGTAGGTGGAAAAGCGTATTCTGTAGAACAGTACGGGATATTACTTTGTCTGTACCGCCAGCAGATTAGACAGTATCAAGGAAAAATGTATTTTTTACTGACTATATAAGTATATTTGAGATCAGACTTATATAGTTTATTTCCTAGTAAACAAGCGGCCGTAAGCAGCCTGGGCTGCACTCCGTACTAGACTACGGTAAGATAGTCAGTTAAATTAGTGAGTACGGTAAGTCGACTTTAAATTAAATGCATAGAATTAGTGCATCACGTTTCTTTTAGTAAGTTAAAGAGTTATTCAATCGGCATATTGTAAACCAGGAGATATGTACACTTGAGCTGATATCGTATTTTTACCAGAAGTCTCCCATTACATGGAGAATGCTAATGGTAAGTTAGAATTCAGGCTACCCGACCAAAGTTTTAGGAGAACCGTATTTTTGGCACTCAAACTTGAGTCACCAAAAACTGAAATTCAGTGACTCATTTGTGTATGAAACCATCCTTATTCAATCAAGTGTTAGACAAGCAACAGTGATTGACTATTTGTCACGTCACAATAGGTGTGACCGCACAAACGCGGACGACCTCAACCGCAGCTGTATAATGCCAATCTTTGACCTTGACCTTGTCGTTTAAATTTGAACGGAGCGAAACCCCACTCAATCGATACGGAATTATAAGGCAGAATGATCTGCCCTAGAGGGAAAGACTGCATACGTCGAACACCAGAACTTGGTTGGGAGTTTCAGAACCGCTACAATGAACATCGTATTCAAAATGTCTATAACCGTTCGAAAAAGTGCGTACTTCACACGAAATCTGCCAACCTATTGTCTGTTAAGCGGCGCTGCGGGATAACCGATATCCTTTCCAACTTAGCGACTTGTCTAAGACCAACCGAACTAAACAAGCCAGGAGACTTGCAGATATCCACAAAAGGAGATGTTTATCGTCACTTAAACGCCCACTGTGCGGTGTCGACCGCACTAAAAATGCCATTCCTTGGCAAAAGGTCTGAGGTCAAGATAAGCGAGGTAAGGACATGCTTTTTATGCAAACCTAACCCACATCGGCAACTTATGTGGTATCAACTTATGTGGTATCATTTCTGTGGTATCATTTCTGAAAATAATCATGACTTGCTTTACGACAGCAATATCATGTAAATAGCAATTCACATAGTCATTGTATAGCAATTATTTGCAAAGACATATTTCGAATCAAGTCAGGGGAATAAGTTATGTTACTTGTTGAAGACAACAGAAGAAAAAAGAGCATGCTTTTTCGAAATTTCCCCAGGCTCTTATGGCACCGGGCTTTTTTACTGTGCATTATGGGCCACATGAGTATAGTAAGACGGCGACGTAAAGTTCGTAGATCTGGTTGCTAATTTGACAGAAAGTCCTTTCATTAGTTAACTAGATGGCTCCTCAAAAAGTATGCTAATGGATGAACCAAATGATGTTGTAAATTCTGTCGCAAATAAAAGGGGATGATTTTATCAGATTACTTGGATTCAATCTCTTATTTATAATCGATTTACTTCGTGCATTCCATAATATTGCTGGACTCGTTCTTTATCTTCCTATCGTCTGTTAGGTAAGGATTGTGTTCTGCTTTCATCTAATTTCTTGATCAAGGCCTGATGTGGGCAATTTATTGTCTGCTTTCTTGGAGGCCCCTAGACGCATTGTCAAATTAAATGCATAACTCGTGATCAGTATGGAGACAGTGTTTTGTATATGCTATGTGTCGGCACAGTCCCCTTTGATTGTACTTCAGATAGCATGTGGACCACTTAAACTAAGGTATTTAACCATAGGCATCTCTATAGTCTCTGCGGGTTTGTTGTTTGACCATCGTAGTTCGATGAGGTCCACCATGTGCTCAAAAGCAGGGAGACGATGACTGGGGACAGAGACGAGATTTGAGTGAAATAGACGCGCAACTGCCTACCT